AAAAATCAAAATGGCATGGTAGTGGCAAAAAAAAAAAAAACAGACACACGGACCAGTGGAATAGAATCAAGAGTCCAGAATTATACCCATATTTATATGGGCAAATAATTTTCGACATAAAAGCCAAAAACATACAGTGGAGAAAGAAAAGCCTCTTCAATAAATGGTGCTGGGAAAACTGGAAAGCCACCTGCAAAAGAATGAAACTAGACTGTTGTCTATCACCACACCTCAAAATTAACTCAAAATGGATTAAGAGCCTGAATATAAGACCTGAAATAATAAAATTCATAGATGAAAACATAGGAACTAAACTCAAGGACCTTGGACTTAAGATTTTATGAATTTGACCTCAAAGGCAAGAGAAGTAAAAGATAAAATAAATGAATGGGACTACAAAAAACTAAAATGCTCCTGCTCAGCAAAAGAAATTGTCAACAAGGTAAAGAGACAACCATCCAAATGGGAAAATATATTTGCAAGCAATACCTCCGATAAGGGCCTAATATCCAAAAGATACAAAGAACTCATACAACTCGATAATAACAAAAAACGAATGATCCAATCAAAAAAATGGGCAGAGGGTCTGAAAAGACACTTCTCCCTAGAGGACATACAAATGGTCAACAAATATATGAAAAGATGCTCAACATCACTAGTTATTAGGGAAATGCAAATCAAAACCACAATGAGATACCATCTCACACCTGTTAGAATAGCTATACTCAACAAGACAAGTAATAACAAATGTTGGAGAGGATGCAGAGAAAAAGGAACCCTCATACACTGCTGGTGGGACTGCAGATTGGTGCAACCACTATGGAAAACAGTATGGAGGTTCCTCAAAAACTAAGACTTGATCTACCATATGATCCAGCAATCCCTCTACTGGGTATTTACCCCAAAGACTTGAACAGATATTTGCACACCGATGTTCATAGTAGCATTATTCACAGTGGCCAGGACATGGAAGCAACTGAAGTGTCCTACGATAGATGATTGGCTAAAGAAGTGGTACGTATATACAATGGAATATTACTCAGCCATAAAAAGAGATGAAATACTGCCATTTGCAATAACATGGATGGACCTTGAAATAGTCATACTCAAGGAAATAAGCCAGACAGAAAAAAGTTGAAAATCACATGATACCATTTACATGTGGGATATAAACCTAAAAGCAACAAATGAACAGGACAAACAGAGACTAGTAGTTACCAGAGGGGAGGGGGAAAGGGGAGGAGAGAGATAGACAGGGGAAGGGGGAGGAAGAGCAAAGAAAAAAAAATTCACTCTGTAAAGGGAATATACAATCACTTAGATTCCTGGCTCTTTAATCATTTCTTTTGATTAACCAACTAACCACTAGGCCAAATCTCAATCCTCGAGAGGGCTTGTCGGTCACATCTTTTAGGGCTGGGGTCAGGAATAAGTGAGAAGTCAATATGAGGCCCTTGCCCAGTGCCCGACACACAGAAAGTGCCCAACCAACTGTGCTTCTGCCGCGGTGGCTGAAACTTAACCATATGGCAAGTTCCGAGGCGTTCTGGGAGAAGAAAATCACAGTGAGACCCCAAATTCAGGGGCCTTCCCTGACCACCTGGCCTGACGTGTCTGGGCCTCTTCAGTCAGCTCCTGGCCACCCACTTTGTGTCACTCCTGCTTTGTAAATCTACTATTTGTCATTAGGGCATCTGCCCCACTTACTAGCAGGCAAGCCAGAGGGAGCCAGGGGGAGCCGGGCTATCTGGAAGGCCATCATACGAACTAACTCCTCGAGGTGACAAGATACCTAGCTCCCGGCTTCCAGCCTCATCCCCCTGCCCATCGCTACTTGTGTGGGTACAAGAGGGCAGAAGAGTTTCAACATGTGCAGATACTTAGGGCTTGATGGGTTCCGAGAGCTACTGGCTTTAGTTATAAGACCACCACTGAACCCAGACAAACTTCAGAAATCGTCCCTAGTTCGTTTTGACCCTTTGCATTCTTTGTCCTACATGGCGTGGCAGAGAGAGCTGGAATTTTAGACTCCTGGACCCTGGGCACATGAGTGGCCTCACTCACGTCAGTATGAGGGACAGCGGAGAGCACAGGAGTGTGCAGCCAGGATGCATGGGGTCCTTGGTCAGTGACAGTTTCTTCACCAGACTCCACCCCGATAATGTGGCCACAGATGGAAACCTTTCCCCGTCTCCCCACACCCAGACCTCCTCCTAGTGCCGATAAACAAACTTACCGTCACCCACACTAGGCTGGTAGTTTCCTTATAATCACCCAAGGTCGAGTATCTCTCAGCATCTGCCACCCCGCACTGGGGGTTACTACGTAATGTCCATATCAGATCCAGAAAGAGAAAAGAAGAGCAGGAAGAATGAGAGATGCTTTGCTCCTCTGTGCCCCTAAGGTATTAAAGCACTGTCCCTGGGCCTGTATCACACAGATCGGCATGGTGAGACTTGACCGAGAGTCCTGCCAGGACACCGGGCAGGAAAGGGTGGGGGCCCTGGCCCCCTCGGCCAGGGTTCATGCCCCCACTCACTGCTCGATCCCATGCATGTGAATTTGCAGCTTTGGTTTCTCTAAAGTAGAACAAAAGCTCAAAGACATTACTAAACAAATCTGCATGCAAAAATCTTCTAAAATCTTTTACGATCATCTTACTTTTTCTTTTTTTAAAGAGACTCACTTTTGAGTGTCCCTGTGGCCCCACCTCCTCACGTGCACCCCATTCATAGCAACTACACATGGGATGGGGCTGGCCACATCCCCTTCCAGGGACATGAGATTAGAACTTAGAGAAGGGGAGCTGGGAGGACGGGGAGCTGGGAGGTCGAGGGGACTGAGAGACTGTGAGGTGGCCATCTGGAGATGGCCTTGAGCAAGTGAATGTGTGCGTTCAGAGACTGTCTGAGGGGAAAGGGAGGCAGCAGTCCCCAGGGAAAGGAGCAGCTGCCCAGGCCAATGTGGGGTGGATGTTTCCGAGGTGTCCCCAGGCTGAACATTTTGCATGCATTAACGCATTGAACTCCCTGGTCCACGAGCAGGTGCAGACAAGGACACTCGGTGTTGGGGGAGATACAGGACTTCGGTTTGTGAGACACCCCGACACCCCTGAAAGGACGTGAAGCATCTCTGAAGGGGCGTCTGTTGTTCGCAGAGAGCACCCTGCCTCTGTGGTGTCCTCGGTCATCACTGTTATTCTCACTCTTCCTCCCTCCTTCTCTCTGGGTGTGTACAGTGGGCAGCAGTGCCTGGCAGGGCGCGAGGGTTCTTTCCGATTTTGGGGGTCTGTTTTTAATGCAAAGTAAAACTAGCGATCCCAGGTCAAGAGAGTGATCTGAGCTGATGTGGGAAAGTACCTCAACTCCACCACACACAGACACACACACACACATACACACGCACACTGACTTCTAACCACAATGCTAGATGAACTCCTTTCTTTTTTTCTTTTTTTAATGTAAAATGCAAAGCTGTCCTTATACAGAAAAGGGACATTTCCAGGTGCCAGAAACATAGGAAAACCTCAGCATCATGAGCAGCGGTTGAAGCCACCAGCCCAGACCAGGTATGCATTTTGAGGCTTGTGTCTTAACACCTGCATGCGGACAGGAGGCAAAGTCACAGGCCCTGTAGGAGTCTGGGAGAGAGAATTGGGCTCTCCATAAAGAGCCAAGAAAAGGCTAAATTGTTGCAGGTATGAGGCCTGAACTTTCTCTCTACCTTCAAGCGGGAAAGCTCGGAGCTGGAAACTAACATAAAAGCTGGTCTAGAACAGAGGGTCCCATCAGGCCCCCAAGAGGCAACCGAAACCACCCCAGAGGCCTATTCTGGCCCCAAAGAAGTCCAGCCAGAGAACTGTGCAACAGCACAACTCAGAGCGCTCGGGGTCATTCAAGGGCATGCCACCCAGGGCTGGGGTGTGGCTCCGAAGCCTGACATTCGTTTCCAGAGACAGCTGCCCACCTGCCCACGTTATGGGTCGCCATGATGTGCAGCACCTCTGTGGTCTTGATCCGCACCATGCTGTTGGTATCCTTCAGCAAAGCTTTCAGGCTCTCCAGGCAGCCTGTGAAGCAGAAAAACCTTTGGATATTTACCAGTCTCAGAAATCAAATCACCTAAAAGTCAACAGGTGAGCCCAGGTCAGGCAACAAGAAATTACCGGAGGTTCTGCTGCTTTGGGGTGCGGAGGAATCTTTACGGCTAGTGTATATTTCAAAGTCGCTGAAGGGGGTTCAGTGTGCTTACACCTGGGAACTGGTTCATCTAACCCCGCTTTGTACACTTCCGACTGCTTTCTCTTGCAGTCTATTGTGGGGTTCAGAAAATGGGCTTTGCATTTGCAGAGACTGAGAGCCCAGTGCCAACCTTGTCCCTGACTAGTCATGTACCTTTGAATGGGTTACACCTAGGGCTGCCGGATTGAGCAAATAAAAATCCTGTTTTATTTATTGGGCCACCCTAGCTTCACACCCCTTCTCTGAGCCTCCTTTTTTTCACCCGTTGGTTGAGGATGCTCCCTCCCTCTCAGGGCGAATGCCGTGAGAACTAACATAACACGGGCACTGCACGTGGGGTGGTGCTGGCCCAGACTCAGGCTCATTAAATAGCAACCATTATTACAGAAGCTCTGCCTGGTGGCCAAGGCCATGCCAGGACCATCCCGCCTCTGGTTTTTAAACCAGCCCTTCAGCTAAGGCTGGAGGGAGAAGTGGCAATTCATCCATCATATACCTGATCTGAGAAAGGTGTGACCATGCCACTAAAATCGCCTCGACGCTTATTTTGGTAAGTAGGAAAGTGCAAAACGATTGTCAACGGTCCCTAATACGGGTGCGGTTTTGGTAGAGCATGTGCCCGTCTTTTGTGACAGCCTCGTGGATGAGACAGATAAACTGGGCTGTTTGGTGAAACTGTGACCACCTGGTTAGTCACAGCAGAGGAGCTGGTTTGTGGCTCTGGGTTGGCTGCTAGAGGTGTCCCGCAAGGAAGCTAGGAGGGATACTGTGAAGGCGCCAGGTCACCTCAGCTCCTCCCGCTTCAAACCACTCTGCGTCTCTCCATCCGGACCCCAGTCATGGTCGCCTGGGCTGTGACACTCTCACCTATGTTGATGGCCACGTAGACATGCTCGGGGTCATGCATGAGGTCACACAGAGCCATGAGGGCTTTCTGCCTCGTCAGCAGGTCTTCCGACTGCAGCTCCTCGTTTAGCTTGGGCAGAGCCCGACAGCCATAGGCAATGGCAGCCTGGGTGGGATCTATGTCGGGGGGAAGGTACGTAGAGATCCGGGCATGGGCCATCTTTCCACGGAGGTGACTCTCTAGCTTTCAAAATGAAGTTCTGGATTAAAAGAATCCAAAAAGTTGTCGTTATCACTACTGTGATTTAGAAGCCACTTTTCACTTGATCCTCAAAACTGTAAGGGCAGCCGGGTAGGTATTTTTATATCCATTTCACAGATGAGCAAACTAGGGCTGAAAGCAACGAAGGGATCTACTCAAGGTCACAGTGAAAGTAAGTAGCAGCCCAAATTGCAAACTCTACAGTTCTCCCATACTTGACGACAAAAGAAATCACCTACACTTTACGGGCTGGACCTTCAGTCAAAGACACCGAAATAAACAAACCAAACAAGTGAACACTGACATGGTCACTACATTTAGTGTTTATCTTGTGCCAGTAATACCTAGTATCTAAATCAACTAAGCTAGAGGAAGGGGACTTCTATTATCCACATTTTACAAAGGAGGAAGTTGAGGTAAGGCCAGGAGCCGATGTTCAAATTCCAGTTCATTCACCCCTCGGGGACCCATATTCAGAAGCTCTGACACATTCAGAAAAAAAGCTGTGCGATTAAAGGGTGAATTATTTTTATCTCTCTCTCTCACACACACACACACACACACACACACACACTTCGAGCAACTATAGGCAGTGTGGCTCAGTAGTTAAGAATGGGCTCCAGATCCAGACCACAGGTGACCCTTGACAAGTTACTCTCTGTTACAGCTGCAAAAGGGAGGTGATAATAGCACTTCCTTCCCTCCCTCCCAAAGTAGACATGTTAACTAATACTCAAGAGGCTGGCACACCAGAGCTCCAGATAGCTCCAGATAGTAATCGTGATGGTTGTTATGGTCGTGTTTAGTGGCAGTGACAGGCTCCGGCCCTGTAGGAATCTACTCCAGTAAGATATGTGAGTGAGACTCTGATTCCAGGCAACAGATGACAAGGAGAGGATGAGGGCCAGGCTGGGAGGGACGTGGCCATTTCTCATTTGGGCTCCCCTCGCAGGGAAGGTGGGCCTTGGGGACAGGATCCTGCCCTTCCCTAAGGGGCATGGGCTGCAGGTGTCTGGCCGCAGATAAGAGAGCATAGGGGTGTGAGGACACCGGCCCGTGAGCCAGACTAGGTGGGTCAGGGGCCCCCTGTCCAGCTCTTATCGGCTCACCTGCTTCAGCGCGCGCTGTCACCGGTTGTGCACGCCCGTTGCTAAGCAACCCAGTTGCCAGGCGACCCCGGCAGCGTCCGCAGCACCTCGCTGCAGTTGGCGCCCATCGCGCAGGCTCAAACAGCCCTGCGCTGGGGCCTGCTGTAAAGTGGAGACAATCATACTTTCCGGGTTATTGTGGGGAACAAAGGCGGCTTAGCTTTGTTCATGATATAAAACGTAAAGGAAAGGAAGTGACTGTGTACGCCTTTCTCTGTACTGAAACTGCGTGGCTTTAATCCTCAGGGTAACCCCGTCAGCTGATAACGTTCTCCAGTTTATGACAGGAACCTCAAAAAGGTTTAGTAGCTTCCCCCAGATCACACAGGCTTGGTCCCTGGACTGCCTAGCCCTGGTCCTTGCTTTGTAGGCTGACCACCTGGTAATGACACAAATAGGCTTCTGCAGTGGACCCACCACACTAATGACCAGAACAATTGTGCTTGAAAGCAAGCCAGACTCAGTCATCACCTGCATAAAACCCTCCATGGCTCCCCACTGGTTTCAGGACAGAGTCTAAACTTCTAGCCTGCTACTCAAGACATTGGGCAGTGGTCTCCGCCTACAATGCTAGACTCTCTCAATTCCCCACAGCCACTCTTTTGCTGCTTGTAACACTAACCACCTCTTTGTCTTTGAGGACGCAACTTGGTAGACACTTCCTCTATGAAGCCCATCTTCTTCCCCAGCTCCAAGTTGGTAAGTGATCCCATAGCTTAATTATCCCATTGGCACACCTCCCTCCCCTAATTCCCTTCTCAGCTTCCTCCTGCTTCCAGACTACTCCAACTCCCTGAGGCCATATCAGTCCTGTTTACTTGCCTCTCCAATGCTAGGAATATACCAGGAGACTTTCAATAAGTGTAGAATAAATGAATGGGTAATAGATTCGAATCGAGCTTTACACTAATCTACAAGGCACTTTTACTATCTTGTCACAACAAACTCTTGAAGTAGATAATTGGGTCCATTTTATAGCTGAGTTAACCAAGGCATAGGAAAAGGTGGAGCAACTCACACTAAGGGTCTGAGCCCTTAGTGGTGAAACTCACTAACAAAGGCACCAAGTTTCAGCCTCCAGCACACTTAGCTTTGAAATGAAGATAACTGATTTAGATCTGTGTGAAAAGGAGTCCATATTGTGATATGGAGATCTGCCCGCTACTGCGGTCCTTCAAAGGACCAAGTCATGAAGGGTCTCTCTAACCCTGAGCATCCTATCTTTTTAAGGAAGGTGGTATAGAGAGCACTGGGCTGGGACTCAGGAAATCTGGGTTCCAATTCTAGCTCTAACTTGGTAGGTAAATCCTTTTGAATGTGTGAGCCTTAGTTTTCTTGTCTGTGCAATCGGGAAGCTGAATCAAGTATTTTTTCAAAACTGAGGCCTCTCAGAATCTGGGTATATAGTCATTTTTTTCAATTGTCCTTCAATTTTATTATTTTTCAATCTCTTTTTACTTTGTTAAATATTTATATATAACAATCTATATAGCATAGATGTTAATTTGTGAAACATAAATATATAATAACCACCTGCGAATTCGCCACCAGAACATTATCAATGCCTATGTCCTCTTCCCCTTCCCCACATCCCGCCCTCTTCTCCAAAGCTAACTACTGTCTCTTTTTGTGATTATAGTCTTACAAGCGCCTCTGGAGGCCATCTAGCCCCACATGCCTCACTCTCCAAACAGACAGTAGCTCACAGGAGCTCAGTGACTCAGGTCAGCTTTTAAATAGCCATTAATTATAACAATTAATTTTGTAGCATGAGCTCTAGAAGCCAGGCATATGATATTCAGGCACCATTAGATTCAGAACGATGTAGATTAAATACTAGGCATGTCCATTCCTTGTCACTGCAAGGTGCTGGACTCTAATCAGATGCCAATGCTACAACAAGAGCTCTTATTTTTATACCATGATTGCAGAGAGGAGGAGGTGCCTGCAGGAAAGACTCAAAGGAGGAAAGCACACCAAAAGACATCAGGGCTGACCTGGAAAGGCCAGAGATGAAGGACATTATTGTGTACTGTGTTCCAAACTACTTATTTTCATTTGAGTCTTTTATTGAATAGAGAATATATAGAGACAGAGGAAAATCCAAAATGTGTGAAAGTAAAATGTCTCTTTCAGTCCCCAGACAACAGGTTTTCCACGCCTGTGGCAACCGCTGGTATCATTCCAGAGATAAGCTAAACTTATACAAGTAAATATGATCCATTTACTTTTTCATGTTGTGGCATCATACTTCAAACACTGTTCTCCATCTTTTTTTAAATTTAATATTCATTCACTCACTTAACATTCACTAAATGTCTGCTATGTGTAGGTACTGTTCAGCCAATGCGATACATCGATGAACTAAACACAAAACCCCCTTCTCTCACTGATCTCGGTGGAGGGAGATAGACAATCAACATAAACAATAAGTTATATACTATGTTAGAAACTAGTAAGTGCCTGGGAGAAACCGCAGAATAAGGGGTTGGGAGGATGCTGCAATTGTAAAGATGGTGCTTAGGGGAGGCCTCATCTAGAGGAAACAGTGTGACTACCTGGGGCAAGAGCATTCCAAGCCCAGGGACTAGCCAGTGCAAACATCCTAGTACCCAGCCTTTTGGAGGAACAGCAAGGAGAGCAATGGAGCAAGTGTAGAATGGGATGGGGGAGAGCAGTAAGCTGTAGATGACGTAAGGGAGGAAATAGGGCCAGGACAAATCACATGGGGCTTCTTGGGCCACTGTAAAAGACTTTATTAACTGAGGATGCGAGGAGACATTGGAGGAGCCGAGGATTGACATGATCTGATCTGTGTTTTAACAGGCGATCTTGCTGAACTGGGAATAGAACGGGGGCAAGGGTGGAAGCAAGGAGACCAGTTAGGGGGAGAGAAGATGATGGCGTGGAAGCGAGAGGGAGAAAGAGGACACTGGACAAATTTTCAGGGTAGAACCTACAGAGTTTACTGATAGATCAAGATAGGAGACGTGAGAGGAAAAAGTCACAGGATCCTGAAGATCCCTCCATAACAGCATATAACGAAAAACACGAAATATTTCGATAACCAGAAAAAGTCATATTTAATGTATCATGAAAATAAATACTTAAACATTTCACATAATCCCTACCAGTGAGCCACCCCCAACTTCCGCCTATGGTAATTATCTGGAAAGTTTGGTGGGAGAGTCTCTCCACGGTCAGCCCCGCCCAGACCCCGCCTCTTAAGCCCAGGCTCCACCTCTGCTGCCCTGATCTTGCCCAAGTCTCCCCTATCCGGCCCCGCCCTCGTCACCATGATGATCGCCAGCGCTCTGGCCGGGTCCAGGCAGCAGCCTCATCAGGCTCTCGCGGCTCCCTCGGGCTCTTGTTGCTATGGTGACCGCTCCTGCAGGCCGCCGTGGGACTCTTTCCGCAGCGCACACCATCTAGACCCCGCCCCCGACGTCCTGGATTCGTCAGACGCCAGCCGGTCCCGCGTGGCGCTCGTTGCCATGGTGATCGCTGCCGCCCGCTTAGGCAGACGAGGCCGTGCGGAACCTGGAGCTACTCCAGTCGCTGCGGGTGAGTCCACCGCCCCTTCCGTCCCACCCTCGGCCCACCTCTGTAAGAGCGCGTCTCGGAGGCCGGGGTCAGGAGGACGCTGCGACCCCCGCCCACCTCCCACCGCCATAACTAACCTGAATGCGGCCTGGCCCCGAGGCCTCATCATTTCCTGAACGCCCACCGTGGGCCAGGCCCGTGCTGGTCCTGGAAGAAAGTCTGGTCAGATTGGGAAGGACAGCAGGCCTCTGTCAAGGCCACCCTGGTGGGGAGAGGTGGCGGACAAAAGGCTGTCGAATAGGTGTCAGGGGCCTGGCCATGGGTGGGGTGACAGGCTTGTGTAATGAAACCTAAGGTCCCCCACCCACAGCCCACCCAGAACCTTCAACCCTTTGCTCTCCATTCTACTTTCTGCACCCGGGCCGCGTTGTACAGCCTAGTGTTTGGGCTGTGCCTCATTCACACCCAGTGATAAGCTAGGAGAGGAGCCACTCCTGGTTTCCAGTTGACAGCAAGAGACCCGGGTCTTCTGGACTCCCAGGCAGGGTGGGGCAGGCTTGGCCCTCTCACCCCCACCCCCACCATATTGCCTGCAGAATGAAAGAGATGACCTCTGGCCAACACTCTGTGACAAAGGAGGAAGCTGGGATCTCTTTTTTAAAGCTACTGAAAAGTTACTCATAAACTTGAGGGTGAGTCCCCAGAGATTGGCACAGCTCCCTAACTCTCTTTCCCCTGGTTGGATCTACAGGACTCTGGAAAGATGAGGTCCTCCCTGACACCTTTGGGGCCCACTGTGAGCCGGGACCGCATCATCACCTGCTTCCCTAAGGTAGTCACTGGGTCAGCCCTTTATGTGTACACTGCAATCCTGACACCACTTCACATTCAGCTTTCCCACCTGCACTCACCACCAGGGACAAAGCAAGTGAATCGGGGAGGGCAGTCCCCCTCTGACCAAACTCCAGAGACTCGCCAGACCTCTTGAGAAGCTAGGAGACTTGGCGTTGACTTGCCCAAGACGGGCCAGCATGTTACAGGCAACACTAGGAAGCAGTGTGGCATGGAAGTTAAGGGCACAGACTTTGCAGTCAGACAGTCCTGAGTGTGAATCCTGATTTTGTCATTAAGCTGTGTGACCATGAGCAAATTACTCAACCTCTCTGAGCCACTGGCACACAAGGATGATTACTCTCACCTTGGGGGCCTGGCTCATGGTAAACAGGAGTTCCCTTTCCCAAGTGGTGGTTGCTATTGTTCTCATTATTATTACAGTTATCAAAACAGCACTCCAGTTTCCTGACACCAGATCCAGAGTTTTCCATCCTTACCATCCTGCCTTTAATTCCTGCTAAA